ATAATCGTGATATATGTGTTTAATCAAAGTAATTTATAAAACAATTTGTTGTATTTTTTTTTTTAACATTAACAAAGTTTTCATTGAGAGAATGAAGTGAGTACAAAAGAATACAATTCAAGAAATATTATAAGAGGAGAAAGAGAGAGTAGATAAAAGAAGTAGGCACAAGATAACAGAAGAGGACCATAGAATCAATCCTAAGTTCTCTGGTCGAGGCCTTTGCCAAGGCATCTGCGCCTGACATTTTTCTCTCTATAAACATACTGGAAACGAACCTGTTCTAAGGGAGAACAAAATCTCATCCATACTTTTGCTTGAACCACCAGGGACTCGAGTCTGACACCACTTGATTACACTGTATGAGTCTCCTTCGATGATAACTCTATTATACTCCATTGATAACCTAGAGTCCCCTTCGATGATAACTCTATTATACTCCATTGATAACCTCAAGAACCAATAATTACATAGTTGCCTCACGTCTCAGCAGCGAGCCTGATATGTCCACAGGGTGTTCCCTGTGTGGCCCTTAGCAGCCATAGCCTGCCAGTCCTTCCTCACTCACCCCAAATTAGTGCAGTCCAATTGCTGGCTTTGTGGTTCCTCACTCACCCCAAATTAGTGCAGTCCAATTGCTGGCTTTGTGGTTCTTGGCTTCTTGACGAACAGCAAATCCTTAAAATTCATATGAAAGGTCTCTTTAGGTGCTGCTATACATTCCATTAAAGCAATTTATTGTATTGATATGTTGTGGATCTGTCCAAATGATTTACTCTCTTGTCATGTAGTCTAACATTTTTATGTGCTAACCACGCTCCATTTGCATGCTTTATTAGTTTATTGTCATGCATAGAAATTCGACATTTCACAATGTCAATTACGGGTGGCAATGGACCTGGAGCTGGGCCTGATACCCAATGGGTAGACCCAACCTATGTCTAGGTATGCATCCAAAAACTAGACTCGGCGGGTCGGGTCCAGGTCCAAATCTTGGAGCCAAACACTATATGAGGTTTGCGTATGGGTCTATGTAGACCCGACCTGAATATTGTTGACATTTAACTAATATCATTATATGATATTTAAATAAAAATAATTATATATTTTTAATTATAAAATTTAAATAATTTTAAAATTAAACTATCGAGGGATCAAGCTTATGAGCCATACTTTGAAGCTATAAAAAAGAGTCATTGTACAATGACTAAAGCAAGAAACAAGTTTATCTGAAAAGCAATTTGGTTTTATGTCAAGAAGGTCAACAACTGAGGCTATTTTTCTACTTAGGCAACTGATTAAGAAGTTTATAATGACGAGAAGAGACCTTAAGCGTTAGGTGGCACCCAGGCGGTCCAGGCGGCCCAGTTGAAAAAAAAAAACTGATGAGTGACTGATGATTGATAATGATTAAACTATAAGAATTTTGATAATTCATAAGAAGTTTGATAATTCATAAGACCATAATCCTGTTGGGTTTATGTGGTATTTTAAAGGCCTTATGATTGTTTGTAAGATGAAATGATATAGTGGATCATGAACTCAGTAGGAGTGTGGTCCCTCGTGGACCATGCTAAGCAAACGATATTTGTTGATACTGGACTGTGTTTGACGGTCTAGGCCAGTCGGTTGGGAAAAACCCATGTTACCTGGGCATAGAATATCAACCGATAAGGGTTCTAATGGGTCGCCGCTTGATGAGGTCGGAGTATGCCTGGATGCGTGAGGGATTGTGTGACCTTTGTGTGTGATGGTGGCCTACAAAGACGGGCGTCAAAGCCTCATTCATGTACCATCACAAGGCATGCATATTGATAAACTGTTTTGGGAAAGCAATCCACCTTTCAGGGTGAAGCGTATGCATGTGTCAGACATACCCCTATGCACAATAGGACCTATGGTCGCATCAGGTCTAGTTGACTTTGACTCGTCGCTGGGGGGGACTTGAAATCTACAGATTGGGATTGCGATCCTTTGGCTCATCGGCCAGACTTTGGTGACCCGCTAATGAGCTCTTGCTTGGACTGTGGGTCATGAGAAATACTGAGTCGGTTCGATAAAGCAAGTGTGGTCTGTAGTTCACAGCTGAAGGTGGAGTGCCCCATGATTATTGATTTAATTCTTAAACTATATGGATCCATTTCCCATCAAATTAATTTAATTATGTTTGTTTTATGATAGAAATTATTTTAAAATTATTATTTGAATTTTTATGAACGTCTGGATATTTTATTTATAAAATTTGGATTTGTAAAATTAAAAATATTGAATTTACAAGGGTTTAAATAGTCAAATAAATATTTTAAAATTATTTTTATTATTTTGAAATATAAAATAAAATTTCATGGGGTCCATTGTGCACATGAGCCCGCCATATTCTAGAAGGTGGGGCCATGCATTCCTTCCTTGAAGTGGCACACGCTCCACCTCTTACGATTTTCTATCTTATGCAAAGATTTTGTTTTGTGGTCCATGTGACCTTATGCTATGGTAATAGTCAATTGTGACATATGGTCAAATGTGACTTGGAAATATATTGACCATATATTGACTAAATATTAAAGTAAATATTGACTTGATATATCTTTGAAAGATTTTGTGAAAGTATGAGAATGATTATGCTATTTTATGGTATGCATAATATTTTGATTGAATTTAATTTGACTTAATTTCTATTGATGGAAAAATGATTTAGGAAATGGGGATAATGATTCATGCATCTTTCATAATGTTGATGGCCTATTTATAGAATGGATGGTTCAGATCTCTCACCCCACAAGTCACCCTTGATCGACGGCCCACATTCAATTTCAGTTAAGATGCAAATTATGGGAAACCTTATGAAACCTTAAACCCAATTTTGCATTATTAATAAGGGTGTACCCCCTTATTCTCTACACATCTCTCTTCTCTCTGTTGTCTCTCTCTCTAAGGGGCATGCCCCATTCTCTCTCATCCCTCTCAAGTCTTTCTCTCTCCTCCCTCTAAAGACTCTCTCTCTCTAGACCTCTCTCTCCTAACCTATCTTTAGAGGGGCACACTCCA